TACGATAGTGGTGTCAGTCGCTAGATTGCTACACTAGTGTTGCCAAATCTCGAAATATAAAAGGCATCCTTCGGCAACCTTAACCAAGACGACCACGACGAGGGTGCCCAAATCCACTACATTCCACATCAGCCTGTCATTACGCCACATAAAACCACTACAAAACTGAGGGTGGTTTTCGATGCATCCTCTCAGTATATGATGTCGTTAAATGATGTCGTGTACAGGGTACCTGTAATCTTACTTACGGTATACTACTACGATTCCGAATGGGAGAAATAGCAATAATTTCCGATACAGGAAGGCATTCCTGCAAGTTAGGCTCCAAGAACAAGACAGAGATGCCACTCGGTGCCTTTGGCTTAGGGACTATCCCCTACCTCAATCTAAATCCTATATCGTCAACTATAGATTTACGCGAGTTACTTTTGGCTCAAAATCGACGCACTTTCTCCTAGCAGGGATGATCCATTATCACCTCAATATCTATGAAACAGAAAGACCACTGGTGAGCGATATTAAGAGTAACATGTACGTGGACAACCTGATACTAACAGCAGACACTATTGAAGAGGACATCCCCTATTATCAAGGAGAAAGCAAGTGTCAAGAGACCCCAATATCGATTTGAGAGAATTTGCTACGAACAATACAGAGCTGAGGAATCTAATCAAGACCATTGATAAAACGAGGAAACAGACTCCCAAAGTACTGGGAATCCCCTGGGAACATAAAGATGACGTAGTTGTGATCTCACTCCACATCCCAGGAACCCCTTTAGTAACCAAAACAACGATAATTGGTGCTATTGCAGTAATTTATGATCTCAAGGTTGAATACTTCCTCTTCTTCATAAAGCTAAAACCTTTTTTCAAAATCTCTGGAGGGACCATTACGAGTGGGATACAGTACTGCTCAAGGAACGGAAAGAATAATGGAATAGTATTGTCAATACCGTCCTAGGGTTTGAAACAAAAATTCCACGCTTCCTAGCACCTAGAGATGGCGACGTAGTCCTATTTGCATTTGCAGATGCAAGCTCCTCTGCAATCACCACCTGCGTTTATTTGCACCATAACTACAGAGCGCAACTGGTCAGTAAAAACTTTGATGTAAAGTTTGGCTATATTTCGTCAAGTAATATCCTCGCCGATTGGGGTACCAGGGGAATAACTAAAGAGGACATAGCCAACCACATCTGGTGGACCGGCCCGGCATGGTTAGCGACCAATAACCTTCAAACATAGAAAAGGATACATTCGAAGCCTTTAACGACGATCAAGGGGATATACTGCCGCAGGACGGAGAACCCCCTACAGAAGTACTCACGGCCACAGATGCTTCAATACATTCAACATATAACGAATTAGTTGGTTCAGGGCTAGAACAGACGTTCACTCAAGCAAAACGCGTTATGGTCGATGTGATTCGTTTTATAAAAGCTGTAGTCAAGAAAATCAATACTCATCGTAGCGTAAAGATAACATGAGCAGCTTTCGAACCAATACCTCTAGACACCATTTTACTGACTACGTTAGAAATTATTAGGTTGATGCATAATTATTGCGGATTTTTTCGCGGCTTTTTT